AAAAAAAAAAAAAAAAAAAAAAAGCACTCAGAAAACTCTGAGAAACATATATGTCATGTAAAATAACAATACAAGCAACGTTTGCCTTGGAGTCATGTTCAAATTCTTAGTCAAAGGTGAGTTAAAAATCAAAAACCGAAAACAACAAAATTAATTTTATTTTTTATTTTTTACAAAAAAATATATGTTCGCCTGAACACGTTCGCGAGCCGTTCGCACGAACGTCCGAATGCGGAGGGGCACGAACACGTTCGCCATGCTGCACAACTTCAGAGTCGTTCTCCTGTCTATAATATGGGAAGGGCAGAACACTTAATATCTCTTTCTTACAGAATTAATCCTAGATGCAAGGTTAACTTGAAACCGGCAGTTCACACGAGCCTAAATTGGCGAACCTACCTTCCAAGGCTCGCAAGCCTGCAACTGCACCTCTCCAAAGTGCGGGTGAGATCGGTTGGAACGAATTTGAATACCGACAAGGCGGTGCAAACGCGTTCGGCGTTCATGGTGTTGGTTTGAATGTGTTTGAACGCCAATATTTATGGTGTTCATGGTGTTCGGACTGATCACACAGTTACCTAGGCCTGGTACAAGGTCACAGGAAAATGCAGAGATGGTGGCTTGAAGATCCTAGACCCAGAGACTTAGGTCGGAGCCCTCCTACTACAGTGAGCGCAATCACAACAGCAGAGAAGCAACCATAGATTCTGCTCGTTGAACACTGCCTTAGCTAGCACAAGTCTAGGAATTATGATCAGATTCCCGAGCGGTATGGGATTCAATCCTAATGCGGCCACAGACATTTGTAACATGCACCACCTCAAGCTCCTGGAAGTACATTATGAAAGATCATTGAAGTAAGATGTTGGGCTGGTATTGCCTCTTGGTTGTAAGGTTGGTAGATGTGAAGTCAAGGTGTGCAATGTAATTCATAGTATTTTCATATGTTATCATCATCATCATCATTTTTATCAATGACGTTATCATTCAACATAATCTTTATCATTATTATCAACAGTTTCATTATCAAAATCTATTTTGTAGAATTTTATAAGGGACGTTGGGCCCGGTTCCCCGCACGGGCGGCTCCCCACGAATAGTGTGGACAAAAGAAAAAAAGAAAAGAAAAAAAAAATGCTCCCACAAACAATTGAGGAATCAACTACCAAGTCAGAAAACTTTTTTTTTTTGGGGGGGGGAGGGGGCGATGGCTCCTGGGTCACACCTAGCGTTTAAAATATTAGACAACTTTAATTGTTCTCGTCGAACTTCTCAAAACACGACAGAAAACGTCGCGGTTAAATCTGCATTCATGCCACTTAAAAAAAAAACAGCCACAATTTCAACCTCCCTTTAAACTTGCACGTTCAGAAACTATAGCGATGACATTTGTACCACTTTGTATTTTCTTGCCTATTTCAAGCTAAGAAGGTGACTCATGAGCAGTTTCCCTTTTTTTTCATAAGGGAACAATGCTCCAATCCATTAGTGGGGAGCAACATGTGCTGGCAACTGGGTCCAGCGTCCCTTATGACCTTTTTTTTTTTTTTTAAGCTTCATTCTATTCGTGGGGAGCCACACGTGCTGGGAATCGGGCCCAACGTCCCATGTGAAATCATGTGAAAAACAATTTGTAATTCGTGGTCATTACCCGTCCTTGGCTAAGAATATCCGATTTTAAGAAAAACCTTGAAGCCCAAGAGATTATCCCACTACCTCGTGTAATGAAAACATCTTCTTGTGTTGAAAAAATTGTCTCTTCACCCACTTTTTCAAGCGCCAGATCTATCAATAGAAAGCTAGTATCCGATTTTCAACAAAAGAACTTTGGAAAACCTGCTTAGGTACGTACGAAACTCTTACTTTAAGTCATACCAACATCAAGAGACCAGACTCAAGGCCGAAGGAGGAAAAAAGTCTGAGAATTTAGACATAGGACGAAATGGTCTAGAGGGGTCAATGTTTGTCCAATCATGGAAGGAGAGATAATAATCCTTTTAATTTTTTGTCGTTCTCATGCCTGTTGGTCGGCCTTGTCTCCCTTCCTTGTCTCCCTTCCATATATATCCTTCCTATTTTTTCCCTTTGATGATCCCGTAGTCAAGCGCCAATAAAATTTTAAAAATGTTGAAGAATTTTTGTCCTGGATGATAAAAATTTGACTTTCTTAGTTACTTTTTCTCATTGTGCTCTGATTTCTGTAAGGATTTGTTGTTTTATAGATTCCACGAATTCCTTACCATCAAGTTTTGCCCCCTCCATTTCATATGTGCATCGTCTGCGTCAAATTGTCCTTATGATTGTCCTTCGTCCAACAATGAATAAATTGTGGGTAAAATTATCCAATTGATCTGAGTTATAGGTTTCATATAACAGTGCATTCCAGTTCCAAGGCCAATAATGGGATGTACCTAGTTAACCCCATATCCTATCCCACCATCTCCACATCCATACTGATCCAGGACATTGTAAAAACATATGTTATATTGTCTCTGGGATTTTTATAGAGGGAAACGCAAATATGTAAAATTTGCACCATGAAAAAGTCAACCCCCTCTTTTCGAATGAGGTTCTGTCAATAACCCAATTATTTGTTGGGAGACATCGATAATCGATCGGCCATTGTAGCGCCACTACTTTGGCAGGTTTAGACTTGATATTTTTGAACCATTTAATATTTTTTAGACAATCCTTACTTAAATTTAGATGTTTCATCCATCTTGTCTCCACCGCTAGTGTGTGAAGTGAGCGGATATACTTCCTTGAGAGTCTATGATCCATCTATTATCAAAAAGAGGTTGTTGGCAAACTTCTTCCCATCTTTCTGGAGGGATTTTATCTGGAAGAGAAAGTTTCTCATGTTTTGAGAAGGTATGGTCAAATGGAATCATTTTTCATGTTTATTCTTGTTGCTTGTTATGTTGTTATCGAATCCTTATTAGAAACTTGTGATCTTCCTTTATGTATGGACCATCCACAATTTTCTATCCAAGTCATAGGGTCTGTGCCTTCTGAAACTTCTTGTGTGAATCTTTCAATTTGTTCCTAGGCTAAGGCTAACCATGGGGTTTATGGTTTGAACAGTCTTTTAATCTATCGGATAGCCAGTGTCATTGTTTGAGTAGTTGGATCTAATAAGCCTAGTCCTTTTTTTGTCTTTGGTTGTATCACAGTCTGCCGAGCTACCCTACTTATAACATTTTTATGATCATGATTACCTCTCCACAAATAGGCCGTCATTTGTCTTTGTAGTGCTTTGACTCAGAGAACTACTTTGTCTAAGGCCCAGATTGCTGATTTGTACCATAAGGATGCAAGTTCAATATTATTAATGATAAGTGTCCTGCCTATAAGAGATCATTGTTTATCCTTCTATTGTTTCATTTTTTTTAGGGTTGGTTTGGTTATTCACTCATTGTTTGCTAAAGGTTTTTCTGCCGCATACATGGAGACCCCTAACACTTTAATATGAGTATTTGGGGGTAAGCAGTTGATGTGAGGTTGTTCTAGTGGTCTCACCCCCTGGTGATGTATCCACCACCCTTGAGTCTTAATCTCCCAATTGATCCTCATGTCTGATAGGTAGCAGAATTTGTTCATCAAGTTTTACATTTCCTTCATATTTTCATGAGAGGAATCAACCATCAGTGATAGGTCGTCTGCAAAAAGTGAGCAAACAGGGATTATCTCTTTGGGCAGACAATTTTTAGGTTTAAACCGTCAGTATACGACCCCAGCCTTGTAAGAAAAACTCGTAGCTCACTCATGAAATTTTGAAGACTTGGGGCTACTGGATCGCAATGGCTGGTGTCGCCAACCAAAAAAAAGAAAAAGTGCACTTGGCAATTCTCAACTCCCATTCATGTTAATTGATCTAAAAAGGCGAAATACTGATCATACATTCCTTAGGTGCACAAAATACCCATCCATGATACAAAGCGGAATCAAAGGGAAAATGATGGGCGAGACAAGCAAAAACAGTCGAAGAGACAAACATGCAAACATTCATTCATTCATCATTCATAAAAAAAGGACGCGCAAATCCGATTGGAGTGCCGAGCAAAAATGTCGAAACCAAGACAAAAGATATGGCCGACAAAATCGTGGGCGAACAACCCGAAATCAAAATTTATATACAAAATGAAAGAAAAAGACGAAGAAAACTGCAACTCCACATCCTTCCACCTCAGCTCTCTCAACTCTCTCTCTCTTCTTCGATGCGGACAGTCCGTCGTCGCGCACCAACCCACGAAGTCGTCACCCCGCTTAGTCCTCCTGCACCCGTCAGGTTCGCCCGCGCCCATAGTCCGTCGTGGCCCGCGTCAACCCCGCGCATTTGGCACCAGCTCGTCGGGTCGCCCGACTCCCACTTACTCACCTCTTACTTTGCGCGTGTGTCGATCCTCACAGATCGCGCCATCCCGAGCTTCCTCTAACTTTTTAAGAGAGCGAACTAATCGCGCAACCGTAATTTATAGTGTGCATATATGCGCGATGAACACAAAATTATAGGGACTTAGAGGGAGGGGAGAGAAGGGATTGCCTGCAATCTGCATGGCCAGACCGCGGCGTGGGGGACGTAGCCACTCTCCACGCATCGATCCGATCATGCCGCCCGCGGGCTAATTACAACTAGGCAAAAGAGAGAAGAGAAGGCGGGAAGACGAAGCTCAAGAAGACAGATACAGTTACAATGGCGCCCGCCCAAAGATTATAGTTGCGCACAAGATTAAAGGCGCCGGCTAATCAGAGCTCCGTTGCAGCCGCAAAAAAAAACGCGCGAGCAAAAGCGTGTTCGCGCGTCAAAAGAAATTCCAAATTTTTAAATTCCTAAATTCCTAACTAATGCCAAAATGCAAAGAAATCCGAAACACAAAATTTCGAAAAGAAAATCCGAACTCCGAGAGCCAATGAGGCTCGACAAGATTCAAAAACGAAATACAACAGGAAATTTGAAGAGAAAATTCAAAAGAACGAAGCAAAATTCCCACGCGATATCCGCGTCGAAAATCACACAGCAGAAAAGAACCGATGTCAACAATTAGCAATCGAGCGCTCATCGGCACGCCAACCACTCGACCGAACACCCAGCCGATTGTCCCAAGAATCGCCCGGTCTCGGACCCAGCCATCGAAGAAGAAACGACGCAAAAAGACGAAAAAAGCGAGGACACCGATGCAATTTCCCACTGATTCCAATTTGCCGTAATTGGCCCAACCTTCCCAACTTAGGACCCCTTATTGTGATCGCGCAGAAAGTCGCGCGATACAGAAAGTGGTTCGTCACATATGTGACGCCCAGGGGGTTCCAATCTTAGCAAGCTCCTGCTTGCTAGACATCATGGCACGTGTCGATCTCTCTAATCGATCGACACGCGAAGCTTTTCTCTCTGTACCACTTACCGTATGAACGAGTGTGGAAGTCATTCAGTGTGGCATACACAACTCTACCCTACTTATTCCTCATGAAGGGCTCTCGACAATCCAAGGAGGGAATCATACGTGTCGTTGTCGCGACGCGAACCATCCAACCATGCATCAATGATTTGCTGGAAGAGGGAAAGGAAGACGATACATGGGTGCGTGGGGAGGGGGTAGAAAGCGGTCCATCCCCTCCACCGTCTCCGGAAGCTCCTGATATCGAACGATCCGGTGGAAGCGGGGAAAACGATTGCCGCCATGGGAAAGGGAGACGAGATAGTCGGGATAGAAGGAAGTGAACGTCTGCAGGAGCGCTGCGCGAAATCGATCGCGGTCTTCGCATGCGGGGATAGTCCCCGTAACCATGCAGTAGACTTCGATCGCGTTGTGGCTTCGCCACGCGGCGCTAAAGAGAAGGACGTGGAGGCAGAAGATTGGTTCGGCGCAGTGGGAGGACGGATGAGGATACACTGAAACACCAAGGCGGGTGGCGTGGAAGAAACGAAAGGTGTCGAGGGGGAAGGGATTGCTGGGAAAGGTGACGCGGGAGGTAATAGGGCGGAGGGTAAGGCGGGCAAGGGGACGACGGGATAATGACTGGGGACGAAGGCCGATCCCCCGCATCCGTACGGGGACGAACTAGGGGACGGGGAGGGGGATCGGGATCTGCTTCGTTGTCGCGTCGTCGTCGCGCTAGCAGTCGTGGCAGCAGGGTCCCCATCTTCCGGCTTCGGCGGCTCCGGATCCCGATACGGATCGTTCAGGATTGATGGATCGGTGGTGCCCGCGTCTTCTGTTGGTCGTTTGCCCGCCTCGATCTCTTCCTTTCGTCGTGCGGCGGCCTCCGGGTCCTCCTCCGTGCGATCCGGCTCCTCGCCCTGGCTCTCCCACTCCAACTCGTTGTCGCCTCCTTCCTCTTCTTCTTCTTCTTCTTCTTCTTTTTTTTCTTCTTCTTCCTCGCTTGGCTCGCCCTCACTATGCTCGCTATAGCTCCCTTCTTCCGACTTTTGCTCATCTTCTTCTTCTTCTTCCTCCTCCTCCTCGTCGGCTTCTTCGCGAAAGCATAGATCAATCACCTCCAGGGGATCCAAGTGCTCGCGGCTCGATGGCCGATGGCTGCTGCTTCCCAGCTCCTCAGAACAAGCCGTCCACTGGAGGTACGACTTCAGCGTGCGCTCAAGAACGTGAGGGGCCGGACTGTTGTCACTTCGGGAGATAATATTGACCGGAAGATCGTCGACCAGTTGTGCGAGAGGGATCATGAGCTCCCGTACGATCTGCAGGCGGTGACCCGGACGCACCGATCCAAAAACGAACCCGAGGAGGTCCCCTTCCACCTCTGTTCTCCATGCCTAGAGAATCAGCAGCTCCACGTCCTCGACTCGGGTGATGCTCGGAGGATCTTGCAGTGGGTCCACGCCAGCTCCACCGCGACTAGGCACACCGACAGATCAACGTAGTGTTCGCACCACCGCTCCCACTATCTCGGATCAAGGAGGGGGACAACGAGTTGCTCCCAGCAGAAGGAAAGGTGAGGGAGGAGACTAGACTGCCAGAAGGTCGAAAAAAGAGAGGGTAGGCCAAAGGTAGAAAGCTGGGATCGATTCATCGAGGGCGGTAGAAGGGAACAAGGTCGGGGAGGATGACACGCGGCTCGAGACGTGATGTACGCAGCCCTTCGACGTCGATCGCGTTGGCGGGGAGAAGATTGTCCCCCGACTGTACCGGCGACTGGTTCCACTCGTTGGCCAACTGCTCACCCCACTCCCTCAGAGTCGTCCGAATGGCCGTATGTCGTATCGGCCCGATGACGCTGATGTCACCACTGAAGATCACGACGGTGGACACGTGGCTTACTCCTGGCACTGACAACCGTCAGAACGCTGATGCCTCCGCCAACACAATCGTTTGTTGATGACTCACGAACTGGAATTCCGCCGCCGCATATACTCCCGTAGTGCTGAAAAACTGCGCGAATCGAAGGAAGTCGAGGCTGATCCGTGGATGACAGACCTGCCGGATCGCTGATATGTTGCCGCGTGGTGTCAACAGGTAATCGCCGAGAACGCGCTCGATGGAGAAACTCATGGCGATGGCGACGGGGACGGAGTGGCAAAAGGAGGAAGGGAGGTAGAAGGAGAAGCGGGTGACAGGCAATCGTCGTCCTCTTCGTCGTCGTCGGAGGAGACTGGTCATGGGGGAGATGGCGAGGAGGGAAGAGGACACAAATAGGACACGTGGCGTACGATCGGTCGAGCAAATCGGCTTCCCGAGACCTCCGGCACCAGCCGTACAATGTTCACGTCGTTCGGGCCGAGCTCGACTACACGAAATCGCCCGAAGAATCGTGGCGCTATCTTCCCTTGACGAGCATATTTCCTTACCTGCACGATGTCCCCTAATTTGTACTAGGGCCGTGGACCCGCATTCCCATTTCGGGCCTTGTAACTACGGACTTGTCGGCCTTGGGCCAACTCGGTCATTCTCTGGCGTTTTCAGGCTAGTCGGGGCATGGACCGTTCCATCAGTTCCATGTGCCTCTTGGCCTTGTCCCGAAACGTGGCCCTCGTAGGTCGTCGGTTCAGGGAAGATTCGTCGGGGAGGCTTGGTATCGAAACACAAGCCACGCTATTGGTCCGCAATTGAAAGGGGCTTAGGCCCGTCGATTCGTGAGGCGTTCCGCGATGGACCGCTAGGATGTGATTGACGATATTGGGCCAGGGCCTCGGATCCCGCGCCGCGATGTTCCGTCGCAGCGCTCTCTTTATCACTCGGTTCACGTTCTCCACCAATCCGTTGGATTGGGACATGTGAGGTGCAGTATTCTGAATAGCGACACCGTGTATGACCAGGTTCCTCAAAACTTCCCCTCTGAATTCTGCCCCGTTGTCCGACCCTCCGAGCTCCCTGCGGCTCATCGAACCTGCCGGGTATTTCCCGCCGTCAGGAGATCGGCCGCGCCGCCCCGAGTAAGCCTCCAGCCGCCGACCGGGCTCAACTGCCAGGTCGTCCCCGTGAATACCCCCTCCCTCCCTCTTTTTGCACTCACCCTTCCTCTCACAGTGTCACCACGGGGTGAGCACCCCTGCAAAGGCCTCCCGATGGGTCTCAGCGAGCCCGAGATTTTTGGAGCGGCCGAGGCCACAATCATTACCCAACCTGCCGTCTCCCGCCAATTGACACACACGTGAATAGGACCCGTGCCGAGGCTTTCGAACACTAACGAGTTCGACCTTAAGCATTTTTCCAAAGGTCAGATTCGGAGCTCGGTTAGGGCTCGACCCAGAAATTGTGAGAGTGAGCCAGCTAGCCGTTCACACGAGCTCGGTCCCAACAAGCGAGCTTGGCGCGAACAGTGGTAGGGCAGAAATTCAAAGAGGAATGAATGGCCCGTGTCTGAGCTCTTTTTCGAGGTGGAAGCAAGCTCGTCCCACGATGCGGGAGGATCCAGGCTCAGAGACCAATTCGTCCCCGGGAAGGACAAGATCACGAAATCACGAGGCGAGGGCATAGGCTGGAACCGAAGTCTCGCCGAGCTCAAGCGCGACCTCGAACCCGGAATGCAGAGGAACACAAGCTCACAGAAAGGGGGGCACAGTTGCACCTGGCTCAAAGGCGACCCCGAACCCGCAAGGACGTGTACACAATGTTACCAAGCTCAAAGGCGATCCCAAAAAAAACGAGTACACAATTTTTCCAAGCTCATAGACGATCCCGAACCAGCGAAAAGCGAGTAGGCACTTTTACCAAGCTCAAGGGCGATCCCAAAAAAAGCGAGTACACAAGTTTTCCAAACTCAAAGACATTCCCGAACCAGCGAAAAGCTAGTGTGCACTTTTACCAAGCTCAAGGGCGATCCCCAAAAAAATAAGTACACAAGTTTCCCAAGCTCAAAGACGTTCCCGAACCAGCGAAAAGCGAGTGTGCACTTTTATCAAGCTCAAGGGCGATCCCAAAAAAAAAAC